CTGCCAGAACTCCGAGCGGAGACGAAGCTCCCCTCGTCGACAGAGGAGCGGCCATCCCGGACGACCTGGCGGGCTTCCCCGTCGGGCACCGACCTGCTCGTCCTCCTGGAAGGTTTCTCCTCGCCGTCCTCATTCCTCATCGTTTCTCCTCCTCATGATCATCCAACTATTCCGTCTCTTCCTACTCTTCATCCCCATCCAACTCCTCATCCACCACCTCCTCCTCATCCACCTCCTCCTCCTTGTCCTCCTCCTCCTCATCCTCCTCATTCTCCGCTTCCTCCACCTCCTCAACTCTCATTCTATGATCATCGCCCCTTCCGCCTCCTCCTCCTCCTTCCTCCTCCTCATCATCATCATCATCATCATCAGCATCAGCAGCAGCAGCAGCATCATCATCATCATCATCATCATCATCATCATCATCATCATCACTTTCCTCCCCAAAGACGTCGCGTGTGCAACAGGTCCTACAGATCGGGAAACGCGATGTCACAATTGATGTGCATCCTCTTCACGACCCCCTTCCATCCTCAGCAGCAAGATGCATGTCAACATCATCCTCATCCTCCTCAGTCATTTCTCCTCCTCATCCTCCTCCTCAATGATCGTGCCTCCTCCTCTTCCTCGTCGTCATCATCATCATCATCATCATCATCATCAGCATCATCATCATCATCATCATCATCATCATCATCATCATCATCATCATCATCATCATCATCATCATCATCATAATCATCATCATGAGCATCATCATCAGCAGCAGCATCATCATCATCATCATCATCATCGTAATCAGCATCATCATCAGCATCATCAGCATCATCATAATCACCACCACCATCATCGTCATCAGCATCATCATCAGCATCATCATAATCATCAGCAGAATCATCATCATCATCATCATCATCATCATCATCATCATCATCATCATCATCATCATCATCATCATCGTCATCATCATTATCATCAGCATCATCATCGTCATCAGCATCAGCATCAGCATCAGCATCAGCATGATAAACATGATCATCGTCATCAGCAGCATCAGCATCGTCAACATCAGCATTATCGTCAGCAGTATCATCATAATCAGCATCATCAGCAGCATCACCAGCATCAGCATCATCATCAGTATCATCATGAGCATCAGCATCGGCATCATCATCATCATTCCCAGCATCATCATGATCAGCATCATCATCATCATCATCACCATCATCGTCATCGTCATCGCTATCGCCATCGTCGTCAGCATCACCATGAATATCAGAATGAACAACAGCATCGCCATCATCAACAACAACATCACCATCAGCATCGTTATCATCAACACCATCAGCATCAGCATCAGCATCAGTAGCAATGCCACCAGCATCAGCATCATCATGATAAATCTGATCATCGTCATCATCATCAGCAGCAGCATCGTCATCAGAATCAGCCTAATCCTCATTATCAGCAGCAGCATCGTCATCATCATCATCATCATCATCAGCATCATCATCACCGACAACACCACAACCCTCCTCCTCCGCCTCCTCTTCCTCCTCATCATCACCACCATCGTCGTCATCATCATCACCACCACCATCATCATCATCATCAGCATCGCCATCATGATCATCATCATCATCATCAGCAGCAGCATCATCATATCATCATCACCACCACCACCACCACCATCATCATCATCATCACCATCATCGTCAGAATCATCATCAGAATCACCATCATCGTCATCATCATCACCACCATCATCATCAGCACCATCATCAGCGTCATCATCATCATCATCAGCATCATCATAATTACCACCAGCGTCCGCATCGGTACAAGCTTCATCATCATCAGCATCATCATCACCACCATCATCATCAGCAGCAGCAGCACCAGCAGCTTAGTTCTGGCTCGAGGGGGTTTTGCGGCACGCTGACCTTCTCTAGCGCTGGGACTAGCGCTGCGTATAGGAAGAAGCGCGACTCGGGCGGCGGCCGATGCTGGCTGCCGTCGGCGATCTCGCGCTGAGGGCTCCGCGACGCGGGCGCGGGCAGTGCGGGCCGCCGACGCCGCGGTGGCGAAGTCCCAGCGCTGCGACGCGCTGACGCCCGCGCTGGATGCGGAGCGGCAGGCGCAGGCAACAGCCGCTGCCCTCGGCGCTCGCGCGGTGGCCGAGGCAACGGCCGCGGCCCGCCTCGGACAGCCCGGTGCTGCCGCCCGTGCCGAACTTCCCGAGCTGGCCAGGGTCAGCGCCTCGGGCACGAGCGAGCGCGCGGCGCTCCGCCCTTGGGCGCGGCCCCTCGTGCCCGCCAGGCTCGCCGAGCAGTTCGGAGCGCGGATGGCTGTGCGCATCGGCGAGCAGTTCGGAGGACGTCGAGGAGGGCGTGGCCGTGGGGCCGCCCGCCAAGGCGGCGGCGCCCCCCGCGGAGCCGCCCGTCGGGGCCGCGGAGTCCGTCGTGGAGCAGGCCCTGGAACACGCCACGGCCGCGAAGGCCGCCGAGGAGGCGCCCTCCCGCGCCGTGGAGCTCGTGCCGCCCGTCGTGGCCGCGAAGCGCGTCTCGCGGAGGGGGGCCCGGAGGGCGCCATCGACGTGGGCACGTCCGTGGAGCTGCTCCTCGCAGCGGGCGCCCCCGTACCGAAGGGGGACGAGGCGAAGCTCGTCGCGGAGCCGCCCGTCACGCGCGCGGGCGCCATGGCCGTGGAGCTCGTCGTGGAGGCGCTCGCGCTGGCAACAGCGCACTCGTTGCCGTGGAGCTCGTCGTGGAACAGGTCCTGGAGCACGCTCCTGCCGTGGAGCTCGAGGAGCTCTTCGCTGGGCCGCCCGTCATGGCCATGGAACTGGTCGTGGACCTGGCCATGGAGCTCGAACTGGTGGTGGACCTGGCCGTGGAGCTCGGCGTGCAGCTGCCCTTCATGGAGCTGGAGCTCGTCGTCGTCAAGCTCGTGATCGAGCTGGAGCTCGTCATTGATCTGGAGGTAGTCGCCATGGAGCTAGAGCTCAACGTCGTGGAGCTGCGCGTCATGGAGCTGGAGCTCATCGTGGACCTGGCAGTGGAGCTCGTCGTCATAGAGCTAGTCGTGGCTGCGGTGCCCTTCTCGAAGGCGCCCACCATGACTCGTGAAGCCGGTCGTGAAGCTGCCTTTCAGGACGCCCTTCGTGATCACGTAGGCGGTGACGCTGCTCTTCGGGATGCCGTCCGTGCCGAGCGTGTGTGGGAGGCGATCGCCGAGCTCGGGGGCCGGGTGCGCGGGCGCGTCGGCAGGCCCACCCCGCCGAGACCACCGCAACAGCAGCGGCCCAGCGGGGCGGCGAGGCCCCCAGTGCTCGAGGCCGCGACGGCAGCACCCGATGCAGTGCCGCCAGCTGGAGCGACCTGGGGCGGAAGTGGCGAGACGCCGCGGCCCTCGCGCTGCCCCCTCGGACGCCGCCTCGAGAAGGGGTGTGGCCAGTACGCCGTTTGTGCGGGGCCCGGGCCGCCGCTCCACAGAAGCGGGAGGCCGCTGGCGCGCGGGCGCCGACCATCGGGAGCGTGGATGCGAAGGGTGTGCTGCCGCAGTACTGCGGCAGCACACCCTTCACACCCTGCGCAGTCAGCGTCCGCGCCCACCTTCGCGGGCATCGGGAAGGCGCTCGCAGCTGCGCCGACCAGCACGGAGGCCACCGAGAGGGCGAACCACCGGTGCGCCGCCATTGGCGAGCGTCCGAGCCCGCCCGCCGTGAAGCCGCCCTCGGCCGCCGCCGCGGGCCTGCACGACCCGCATCCTGACGAGCGCAAGCAGCCGTAGGGACGGCTGGGCGCGGCTAGAAATACATGGCTGGCGGCCCCGCGGGGGCCGTCGGCATTTCCTGCCTCTAGGGTCTGGGGCTCGCTCTCTCTCTCTCTCTCTCTCTCACCGCCTGGCGCGGGGGCCTGTGCGGAGATGGCGAGCTGCTGCCGTGCCCCCTGCTGGCCTCAGACAGCAGGGGCCATCGCTGGGCAGCCCGGGCGGTCTGGCGTCTTGGGGCCGCCCCTCGTCGCCTTGTCCCCGGGGAGCTCGTCAGTTCCCTGGGCATGCATTGAACTTAGATCCAGTAGGGTCAATGCACCACTCCTTCACCCCTGTAACCCAGTACCCGATAATTAGCATCATCAGCGTCATCATCATTGGCATCAGCATCAGCAACAGCATCATCATCATCATCATCATCATCATCATCATCATCATCATCATCATCAGCAGCATCAGCATCAGCATCAGCATCCTCATCCTCATCATCCTCATCCTCATCAGCATCATCATCATCCTCATCACCATCATCCTCATCACCATCATCATAAAAACAGCAGCATCATCAACATTATCATCGTCATCATCTGCATCATCATCATCACCATCGTCAGCATAATCAGAACCAGTATCGTCATCAGCATCAGCATCAGTATCATCATCAGCATCAGCATCAGCATCAGTATCAGCATCCTCATGATCATCCTGATAATCATCAACATAATCAGCATCAGCATCATCATCAACAACATCATCAGCAGCATCAGCATCAGCATCGTCATCATCGTCATAATCGTAATCATCATCATCATCATCATCATCAGCATCATCATGATTAACATCATCATCATCATCATCATCATCATCATCATCATCATCATCATCATCATCGCCATCGCCATCACCATCACCATCACCATCGTCATCGTCATCGTCATCATCATCATCAAGATCGGTATCATCACCATCATCAGCATCATCGCCATCATCATCAGCATCATCATCAGCAGCATCATCATCGTCGTCGTTGTCGCCGTCCTCATCGTCGTCGGCGGCGGCGGCGAATCATCATCATCATCATCATCATCATCATCATCAGCATCAGCATCATCATCATCATCATCATCATCATCATCATCATCATGATCATCATCATCATCATCCTCATCATCATCCCATCATCATCATCATCATCATCATCATCTGCATCATCATCATCATCAGCATCGTCGTCCTCATCATCAACATCATCACCATCATCAGCATCGTCATCGTCATCGTCATCAGCGTCGTCATCATGATCAGCATCATCAGCGTCGTCGACATCGTCATAAACCTCGTTTTCAGTATCATCATCATCATCATCATCATCATCATCATCATCATCATCGTCATCATCATCATCATCATCCTTATCATCATCAACAGCATCATCATCATCATCATCAGCGTCATCATAATCGTCAGCATCATCATGATCCGTATCAGCATCATCGTCATCATCATCAGCATCATCAACCTCAATATCACCAGCATCAGCAACAACAACCACAAAAACAGCTTCATCATCAGCAGCATCATCAAGAGTATCAACATCATCATCATCAGAAGCAGTATCAGCGTCATCATCATCATCATCATCATCAGCATCAGCATCATCATCGTCATCTACATCATCATCAGCAACATCACCATCGTCATCGCCATCGTCGTCGTCATCATCACCAACATCAGTAGCCTCATTATCATCATCGTCGCAATCGTCTTCGTCATCGTCGTCAACCGTATCGTCATCAACATCATCATCATCATTAGCAGCACCATCATCATCCTCGTCCGCATCCTAATCCTGATCCTATTTCTGATCCTCACCGTTCTCCAGCGGTGACGGCGACGGCGATGGCGACGGCGACGACGCGAAGGCAGCAGTGACGGTGACGGCGACGACAACGATCTTGACAGCGGCGACGGCGGCGACGACGACGAACCGCGGCGCCGGGGCAGCCTTGGCCATGGGCGGTAACACGCCCAGGAGCCTCTCGATCTCGGTCCAGCTGGCGCCGCACGCGCGCGAGAGGAGGGGGAGGAAAGGGACGAGGGGGAGAGGGAGGCAGTGGAGGGGGACGGGGGGAGGGGAAGGGGGGGGACAGGAGAAGGAGGAGGCGATGAGGGGGAGGAGGTTGGGAGGCGAGGGAAGGGGGGGGTGGAGGGGGAGAGGAGGGACAGGACGGAGGATGAGCAACGTGTACAGTTTGACCAGCTTAGTCAGCGTGATGCTAGCCAAGACGGTCGTCAATTGGAGGTTGCGAGCTGAAGCCAATTGCGGGGTGCGCGAATCAAGAAGGGCAGGAAGAGGAGGAGGAGGAGGAGGAGGAGGAGGAGGGAGAGATAATCGGCATGGCAGAAGAGGACGACGAGGTGTCCATCATCTATTGGAAGGCTCCACCGGAGCTTGGCCAACAAAGTGAATTCCCACCGGAAGAGGACGACATCGAGACGGACAGAAGCCTTCGCAAGAAATTGCTAGCGCACGAGTACGGTCACGGTCGAGCAGTCACTGGTGCGGACAGGTCGCACACACACAGGCGAGTCGTACAAGGAGGAGTTCATCACCAGGTGCGGTGGCGAGCACAAGTGGAGAGTGGCAGGTTCCCACGGAAGCGGACGTTGAGGAGGATGACAGCTGGGCCGACAACTTACCTTAACTTGCCTGCAAGGAAGGCGCGCCCCTGACAGAAGGGGCAGAGGGGCTGGCAAATCAGGCGGCAGCAGCCCCTAGGGTATCACAAGACCGCCCCTTGCTGGTAGACCCGAGAGGGCAATCTTCTCGAGTCACGGCCGACATGGACGCAGTGGACGATTCGACTACTCCGCCATCGCAGAAGTGTTTTGCCAGCGCGGGTCAACAACCTGACACTGGACACGCCAGGTTTTTGCAGGCTTTCAAGACGGAAGTCACATCGTGGAATGTTCCCCGGTCTGGATAGCGCTTCACCTTCTGTCGGAGTGGAGGCCAGCCCAGCTATGCACAGGGCTAGCGCTGCTTACTACGACATACGGAACTCTGAAATTTCACGGGGGGGGTCGTGTTTATGAAGAGGCACCCGCACACTGGAGTACCACCTCGAAGCACCTCACCGCCCTCACGACGAAACCGAAACCCTTGGCCCAGATGAAGGGCACGCAGCTGATGAAAGAAGGGCAGCAGTCTATGCCTTCTCGGCCATCGAGGCGCCTGCGCAGACCCTGTCTGCAGTAGTGTTCAACTTCCAAGTCGGTGCGACATATGGACATGGTGCTGCCCATCAGTGTGGAGTACGACAGGCTCCGATGGCACATACGCTTGCGAGGGGATGTTGGTCATGTGCGATTGCATGAACACACTCGCTTGGCCTTGCTGTTCAGTCGCCTCCCTGCCAGCTCCTGCAGACATGGTCTACATCTCTATGGACGGCGCGTACTGGCCCGAGGACCCGATGAAGCCGGCGTGGGCCTGCACAGTGCTTCCTTCCTATGGTGAAGACTTTCGTTTCGAAGGCGTCTTCGGAGGCTTCGCGGTGGATTGTATCAATGCCACGGTGGAGGAGAGCTGGGTCAACAGTGACCACGGAGACGGCGGTCGTACTATGGGCTATCACGTACGCCTTGCAACTCCCATCGCACCCATAGGTGGAGATCGGTTGCGATTGCCAACCTGCACTGGTGCGATCGTCGTCGAGACTAGCGAGAACCCTTCACGGCCCATGCTATACATATTCTCGACGCTATCCGTCGAATACGGCTGCTTCGTGTAGCGCATGCATCCGGGCACCAAGGGCACCCGTGGAACGAGATGCCGGACGTCATAGCCAAACACGTGAAACAGGAAACACCACCCAGTCGAACTCGTGAGGCGGTCCAGATGCTGCGTAAATCCCCGCACTAGGGGTGGTCGCCATACAGACATGAAAGCCTCCCAGACCGTGACGCTTATCGAACATTCGCCAACTCAGGAATTGAATACCAGCCTTGTCGACAGCAAGTATTGAAGGCACAGGCGCAGGTGCCTGGTCATTCGAAAGAGCCCGAGGAGTACCAGGTGAAGATGCGGGTGGCTACCTACAACATGCAGCGTGCAAACCTGGGCGATTAGGAGTGCGATTGGGGTCTTGGGTGGGGGGGCAATTTCTGAGGATGCGGCCCATACCTGGTGGAATGTCAAGAAGTTCCTTCTCCTGCTGAGCCTGCTGAGCTTGACGGCCACGTGATCCTCAGCTCATGGAAGGCAAAGAAGCTTGGAGTGACGCTGTTGAGTAATACTGCCTTGCGCTATTGCCATGGACCCAAATGGACGAGGGCATTCAAGAGGAGTAATGCGAGGATCATCCACTGCGAACCGAGAGTGCTGGTGGTACGCCTACTCAATGTCGGCATCGACGAGCTCATATACGTGATCCACACATTTCACCAGCTATGTAAAGTAATGGGATGGTCTGGACGGTATGATGGCAAAGTTGCTTCCAACCTCGATACTGAGGGGCATGAGCGCGAAGGTCGGAGCCAGGCCAGCACGAGAAGAATACGGAGATGGAGAAGGACCTTGCGATCCTGAATACTGATGCCCAGAAGCTGACGACGGACCAGGAGCTAGGGTACGACAAAACGTGAATTTGAATGGTTTGCACCTGGAGTCGACATTTCATACGCATGAGGGTGGACACGCATGTGCTACGAAAGCTAAGAACGAAAGTCGGATGGAACATAGTATCACGAATATCGAGTGCCGCGCAGCAGCTCACTCATGCAGGGTTGATTGTTCTGCAGATCAGGGAACCGAAGCAGAAGTTCATATGCCTGTCGTCATGGAGGTGAAAATGGTCACGAAGAAAGCCCCAACCCAACATTCCATGCACCCCGCCCTGGACACAAACAAACTACGTAGGTCGGACAAGGTCGAGATGCTGACAGCTATTTTAGAATCCAGCGAGCTACCTCACTGGTCCATGGTCCATGGACATCAATGACCACTTGGAGGCGTACGATCGGCTGCATCTTCTTGCTCTGGGAAGGATTATTTGACATCGAATCGGGACTACGTGCAGCGCCAGACAATGGAACTGGTGCGTCTTCGGACTATGTGGCGAGGGCACGATGGTGGATGCCATACCATACCTTGTTTCGACCGCCATGGAGGGACCCACCGGAGCATTTACAAGACCCCATTTCTCATCCAGCGCAGGAATTTCAGTGGGCATCAGCTACGTAAGAACTGCACCTGGCGTGCTATGCGATGAAGCGCGACCTCGCCATGAGCAAGGAGGCATTCCAGCGAGTGCTCGACACTTTCCTGAAGAGTACAGTCACGCCGTATAACAAGGACACACGATGAGGATGTAAGGGCCTTGAAAGGCCATTTCGAAGCTTTTCGAGCGGGGCGCGGCCAGCGAAAGTAGCCAAGGATGGGCCGAGGAGGCAAGGATCCGAGGGTACCTCTGGGAAGGTTGCCCATCCATACTACGCGGGTTGACTGTACTTGCAGAGACGTTAGGAATGCGGTCAACAGGGATAGGACCTTTCCCTTGGAGGAGATCGCGTGCGATATAGACCAATGCGCACAGGACAAGGACGTGCAGCACGAGTGGAGATTTCTCAAGGTCTTGCAAAAGCACGGCGACAGGGTAGGCCTGATGGGCAGGCACCCTATGTTGAAGAATGTGGATGGTAACATAGCCGAATCAGCGGAGGAATCAGGCATGATGGTCATCAAGCATTTTGCGAAAGCTAAGGATGCAGAGCTTGTATCTCAAGAAGAGCTGGGCTGTACAGATAATGCTAGGCTTCACCACAATCCTGATCTTACACCAGTGGATCCTGCCTCTCTTTTGGATCCCCCGATGGCTGCCAGGTTGTTTGCAAGTACAAAGAAGGGGAAAATTGCTGGGCAGGATGGGATTTGAGGCGACCCTCTGAGGACATGCCCACATGAACTTGCCAGACATTACTCGCCCATCCTCTGGTATGCGTCCGTATGCCAGCAGGAGCCGCTAGCCTGGAAACACAGTACAATATCGCCTTCCCTTTTCATAAAGGAGCCGGGAACTACCCGAGCCTGAACTACTACCGATCAATACTGTTGAACAGCACCGTCAGCAATTTCTGGCATAAGTTTTTTCGGTCGCAGACTTCCCCTTACTTTGGCGTTCTACTTCGGGACACGCAATGCGGAGGTGGTAAGCGGCGTGGTCCTCCAGTGATCGTGCAGATGATTTCAGGCTGCATCGAAGCTGCACAGCGACAAGGGCGAGGAGCGATCATGTTTTTTGTCGATCTGGTTGCGGCCTTTTACATAATGGAAAACAAGGGGATGGACAGGAGGGAGGGGGGGAGGGGGAGGGAGGATGAGGGGGAGGAGAGCAAGCACCAGCAGGGAGCAGGGTCGGCAGGACCAGGACAGGATGCAGGGGGAGGAGGTGAAGCGCACGCTGATGCAGGTGGAGAAGCAGGACGACGACGAGGACGAGGAGAAAGAGGCGCAGGATCACGACCATGAGCACAAGCACTGCACGAGCATGTTCACTACGACAGGTACAAAACGGTGGAGGGGGACGACGGCGGCGGCGGCAACGAGGAGACGAAGGGAGAAAGCGAGGACTGGGACGAGGACAGAGAAGATGGAAGAAATGGAAGAGCATGAGCACAAGCAAACACCCGAAGATGGGGAAGTGGAAGAGCACAGACTGCATCCTGCACTCGTGCTGCATATGTGCAAAATGAACCTTATCGTATCGTGCGCGTCCCAGTTGCTAACGGAATGATACTTACAAGGCATGTGCTCCTGCTGGGCGGAAAAAGTAATGTCTCCAAAGCCCGTGTTCACGAGAGGCACTCCGTGTATTGCCGAGCATCCTCGGGTGTACTGATTTCAAGATGCACCGTCGGGTGATATCAACGCGACTCAATGTGCAGAAAACGTGCTCTGGCACGTTGCCACCACCTATTTCAGAAGCTTGATCTTGCCAACTTGCTCTTACATATTTCGAGTGGGTCGCACCAATGCCGGAATGTTGCTCTTCAAGGTGTCGGAGATGCGTTGGCAAGTCTGTGGGATCCCTGCATTTGGACTCGACGGGGTCCTACGTAGCGCCTGGGGAGGAGCACAAGTGAGGAAGTCTGAGGAGGAGGACGGGGAGGAGTTGAAGGAAGAGGAGGAGGGAGTAGACGGAGGAGGAGCAGCAGCAGCAGGAGGACAAGGAGGAGCTCCCCCTCCTCCCCTCCTGCTTCCATCCTCCTCCTCCTCCTCCTCCTCCTCCTCCTCCTCCTCCTCCGAAACATGTCAGAAGCTTCTAGAGCCTCCACCAACTGCAGAACACCGGCGAGACATGCTGAAAGTATCCTAGCCCACGCCTGGAATCTCCGATATCATCCTCCTGCTGGGCCTCCTCCGCCCCACCCCTCCCCCTCCTCTCGGGCTAGGCCCGCATCCCTCTTTCCTCTTGGTGCGACTCCGATCTCAACCCATTTCGCCTCACGGCAGCGCGCTTCGGGCGCCGGGTCCTCTTCTGGCCGGCCGCTGGGCAGCTCCCATGCCGGGCCAGCTGACGGCGACAGGGGAGATCGGCTGCACGTGGCTCAAGGGATTGGCTGGCCCCCGTTAGCGCTGAACCCCGTGACGTGAGCCCTCCCCTGATGGGCCTGCTTTCCACCACCACCATATGTTGGAGGGGGGAGGAGGTCCTCCTCCTCCTCCTCCTCCGCCTCCTCCTCCGCCTCCTCCGCCCCTGCAACTTCTGGTGGTGGTGGCGGAAAACAGGCCCATCACTCCCCCCGCCCCTCCTCCCGGCAGGCCCGCCTGGGGCCGAGCCGCGCGAGCATGCGAGCGGTCTCCGGCCTCCTGCGGCGGGCGGCGGGGGGGTCCTGCTTCGCCGTCGTCGGCGTCGTCCCCGCCCTTCGCCCGGGAGAGCGGCAGGCGCCGAGGCGACAGCGCCGCTCGGAACAGACAAGGGCGTTCCGAGTTGGAAAGAATCGCATCCCGAGCGTGTGCGCGCCTGCGGAACAACGGCGCGCGGGAGGGGCGGATGCACAGCGGCAAACCGTCGGGGGGAGAGCATCAGTAGAATCATGACAGATAGGTGTAGGAGGGCCAGAAGTGCGGCGAGCGCCGAGGCGAGAGCATCATTGGGAGCGGCCGAAAACGTTAACATTGGAAGCGCGTGATATCACGCATGCTTGCCAGCGTGGACCCGTAAGAGAGCGCTGCTGCACTCTAGATGTAGAATGTGCGAGGCGCAATCAATGTTGAAAACCATTACGATGCAAACTACGTGGCGCAAGCTATGTGGTGTAAGCTACGTGGTGCAACTACAAGCACGAGTCGTGAACTCCACTGCTCGCGCAATCATCCCACCCTCCCACCCACAACTTGCTTTGCAAAACCCATGCGGCCGCGACTGTGGTGACTGATTGGCCCTGGCTGGCGCAACTATGCGGCGGCGCTGGCGTGCGCAAGCTCGCGCGCAGAGCGGCAAGCTGGTTTGGCACAGCTGATGCGGCCGCGATGGCGCTTGCCGATGGCAACTTTCCAGCGCGTCTCAGAGGCCACGCTGGCGCGCGGCAGTTCAGTGCAGGTCAGTGACTCGGGCGGGCCGATATCATGATGACGCCGACAACGACGACAACGACAGATGATGATAGTAGCAACGGTGGTGGCGATGATGACGATGGCGGCGGGAAGGCCAATAACGGCGCCGATGCTGGTGACGGCGATGACGATTCTGGTGTCCAGGTGTCGGTGATGAACGTAATTGACTGATGATGTCGGCAATGCTGGCGATTGCCGATGACGATGACGGCGGTGATGCGATGGCGCTGACGCGAGTGATGGATTCAAGAGATCAGGCAGACATTCTGGCGAAGAAAACGTACTGATTCATGTGTGTTGACAGAGCTCCACTTTGAAACTGTTCGAAGAATAAGGGTTTTGGAAGGATGCCGACATGCGCGCGTGGCGGCGCGCACACATGAAATCCACATGGTATAGTTTGATACGGATTGGGCGCATGCCAGATCAACGAAGATGCAACGCGCGGTGAGATGGGAATGCGGGTTCTGGGCGAGATTGCTGAAATCATATGGTTTCCCTATATTCCAGCAAATGCGCGCGGGCAAGGTTCGTGATAAAAGACATACAAAATGCTCGATGGTTTGATGATGCAGTTCTTGGATCACGAATGTGTCTTGGTACGATTTTGACATGTGCGTTCTTTTACAAGGGACTATTGAACAATAAACGAGTGCGCGCGCATGGTATTATTTGACGTGGATGGGGTCGGTTGCCGGTACTTGTCGGGCTGGGATGGTGCGAACTCGTCTGGGGCATGACCGATGAGGCGGATTCACACGTAATTGGCAGCGTCCCCAGACGACCGGTCAAATCTGGACTCGGGAGGTGGGAGGATAATATTCTCCTTCGGAAAAATGCATGTCCAAATATGTGATGCAAGCAACGAAGTGCTGCAAGTGGGACAGTCCATGTGGTGCAATACATCAGGTGCAAGCTCCGTAGTGAACTATACTTTGGGCAAGCAACGTGGTGCAGTCTACGTGATGCGGTTTATGTGGTGCAAGCTATGCATTGCAGTCCATGTTATGAATTTTGCCGATGCTGCAATATGTGTGGTGCGCGCTATGCGCTGCAAGCTACGTGGTTCAAGCTACGCGTGCTGCAAGCAACGTGGCGCAAGCTATGCATGCTGCAGGCAACCTGGTGCAAGCAGTGCGGTGCAATAGATGCGGTGAAAGCTATGGGCGGTGTAGGCGATGTGCTGAAAGCGACGCGGTGCGAGCTATGCGGCGCAAGCTGTGGTGCAAACGAAGTGGTGCAAGCTATGTAACGCAAGCTGCGCTATGCAAGCAGCATAGGGTGCGCCATGGGCCCCCGTTATGCGAAACCCCGGCGGACCCAGCCAACGCACAGGGCGCCCACGAGGAGCCGCCCATGGGGCACCCACCAGGCGAAATCCTGGCGGACCCATCCAACGCCCGTGGCGCCCAGGAGGCGCCCACGGGCGCCCACCAGGCGAAACCCTGGCGGACCCAACCCACTACTTAGACGCCTGAATAAGAAACCCTCAATGCAAGCACTGTTTGGGGCCACGCCGTGCAGTAGGCACTGAGTGGAGGGTCCGCAGGCCCTTCCGACTTCTCATCGTCATCCTCATCGTCATTTTGAATTATCACCACCACCATCGCCATCGTAATCGACATCGTCATCGTCATCATCATCAGCAGCATCATCATCGCCCTCATCAGCATCGTCACCATACTAATCTTCATCATCACCACCACCATTATCATCATGATACGGTTATTACTAATCATCAGATCCTCATCCGCATCATCAGCAGCATCATGATCATCATCATGATCTCCACAGAAGCATCATCAGCATCGTGATCCTCACCATCGTCGTCATCATCAGGATCATACTCATCGTCAGCATCAGCATCATCACCATCATCAATATCGTCATCGTCATCGTCGTCGTCATCATCGCCATCCTCACCACCACCAGCACTATCATCATCGTCATCATAACAACCACCAGCACCATCGTCATGCCTGCTGCTTCTCCCACCTCCCCCGTCCCTCTCATCACCGTCCTTCTCCTCCCTGGAAGGAGGTACGGCTGGCGACTCGTGGGGAACGCAAGCGGCGGCCGCCTCTTGGCGGCGGCGACATACTCGATACCGGCGAGGGACACCTGGCGAGCGCGTGCAGGGCCAGGGGCACGCCGCGGAGGTCGCGCCAGTGGGAGGGCAGGAGGCTGGACAGGGGGGGAGGGGGATAAGAGGGAGGGCAAGGGTGAGATTACAGGCTGTGTGGCGTTAGGTGTTTCTCATCATTACCGTCATCATCATCATCATCATCATCATCATCATCATCATCATCATCATCAGCATCATCATAATCATCATCACCGTCATCGTCTTCATCATCATCACCATCATCATACTCATATTCACATTCATCTTCATCATCTGCATCATCATCACCACCACCACCATCATCACCACCACCGTCATCACCACCACCATCATCAGCATCGGCACGTCATCGTCCTGTGATTTCTCGTCTTCATGTTCATCCTCGCCCTCATGATCCTAATCATAATTATCTTCAGTTGCCTTCTTTTCCGAAAACAAACTCATACAACTAACGATCATAAGTCCGTTAAACCTATATGTAATGTACTTTACGGTATAATAACAAACTGCTCTGCCTATATATATATATATATATACACAACTACCCATTCAGACAACAACAAAAAAAAGAAACACTGGAAACGATGCACACGTAAAGCGTCATCAGAAATCCATACCATCAAATTAATAAGATGCCATACGAATCAAAATGAAAAGACATGTGTACAGTCAAAACAAATAAGACCAGAAAACGAGTCGGGTCCACGATTGGGTCCACGAATCCATCCTGCTAGGACTCTAAATAATGAAAAAGGGTGAGGGTACCCAAGAAAATGAATTTTCTGACATTCGGACTTCCTCTGAACCTCTCCAGCCCAAGACCGTCCACGCAGCCTTCAGGCCCGAAAGCAATTGATTGTTGCTTGCTTTGGTATCTTCACAGGTTGTGTTAGTTTGCTTTTCTGTGGGACCCTCGCAAGGTTCGTGGACCCTGGACGTCTTTTCAATTGTATGTTTGATTGCAGTTTTAGGGCCTTCAGGCTGCCTGGGCGGACGTGGAGAGGCCCGGAGGAAATCCGAGGACGCGGTAATTCGTTAGTGTTGGCACCCTCCGGGGTTTGGTTTTTTCCCCATATCCTAAGGATTGGGGTTCTTGTTATTACTCTGACGCCTCCCACTGCTCCTCCTTCCTCCCGCTCGCGCCTCCCTCCTCCCAATGATAATCACCAGATAAGACAAGACAAGATAATATACTACAAGATGAGATAAGATAGCACAAGATATGACAAGGTAAGATAAGATATATGACAACGACTCGATAAGATAGGACTCGATAAGATAAGATGAGACTCACTCTCACTCAGACTCACTCACAGTCACATTCACTCACACTCACACTCTCTCATGATC